TGTCTTTATACATTATGCTGCGTTAAATCTGATTGAGATTTCAACTTTAATGCACTTATTGTACATAATGAATTACATTTTAGTCTTTAATATAGACTTTCTTGAGTTAAATTATTTAATTCCATTGTTTTAGTTAAATGAACGACATATTAAATAGAAGTAATAGCGACTTATAGAAATGATAAAAATAACCCAAATTGAATACAATTTGATATGAATTTAATAGTAAAGAAAAAGAGTGGAGAGCACGCGTTTTGTGATTTTATAGCAGCGAAATGAGCCATATCGAATACAGCGTTTATCGTCTGGGGAGTGTCGATAGCGTGTATAAAATATTCGTGGGCCGATCGCATAATTAAGTTTCTCTTTGCCGTTTCTTCGCGGAGGAAAGACGAAGGACGACCGGAAGGGAAACTTGAAATCGTCGCTTCGGCAAATTGCCGGGCGAAATTCGCCGAGCGCGACAGACGGGAAATGAACCTCACTGAATGCTCGCTGTCTTTCGATGGTCGTCCTCGCATTTGCCACCTTTTTGTCCGCCTTTCCGCTTCCGTCGGAGGGTTGCGACGGATAACCCTCAGCTATGGTGACGGTAAGCGCGCGCAAACGCCTCCCCGATAAGTTATCGCCTAATTATGAAGCCCGTAGGTTGCGACGTTTGCACGTAACCCCGGTGATTATAAAGTGCACGTTACGGCCGTTTTTCACAGTTGAAAAATCTCGGGATATAAGTCTTAAAATGTAGGCAGGCAGCCCTTGATATGCTAAGCAAATTTGACGATGAAGCTCGTTTATACGTGGGAAAAAGCGCCACCGTAAAATGTCCCATCGGATTGACTTGCCGAGAACGTACAGATCGAGGATTAAATAGAGAAGATAGATAGATAAACAGATAGATAGATAAATAGATAAAATTATCAAAAGTTTTAGGATAAGCTCCCTAAGAGCATACAAAAAGTAAATTTAAAAAATATAACGGAAAACAGATTATAATAAATGCTGAGTAATTTGAACGGAAAAAATGAAGGTGCAATAAAAATGGGACAGAACACAATGAGTGTTGAAAAAAAAAAAATAAAAACAAAATAAGGCGATATATAAAATGAACATGATAAGTATGAAGTGCGAGAATGGTAGTGTGATGAGTGTGATAAAAATGGTGATAATGCTCGCAGACGAGAACTCGGATAAGTGACGGCACATTAACTAGTAACGATGATAAGTTTTAACATAGACAAAAATAGAATAGTTGAAGATGAAAGAACTCCTAAAAAAATTCTTATTATTTACGATCCAATTCGTTTTTTTTTTTTGCGTCATACTCGATATCGATAAACCAGACACAAATGGTCCTCAACGATGTAGCCATTTTTACGCATTTCGAACGAAAACGCGAGAGAGGGATGACAAAGTGGATCGATCAAAGCGTATTAGACGCGACGATTAATCGCCGCCGTTATTTCCCTCTTTTCCGCCACTTCGCGTCGCGGTTCGATCCGACACGGACGCGCTTCGCTCTCAGTCGTGTTAGTCCTTTTATATTTTCATTAACCGTCATTATTCCGCCTACGCTTTGCAGCGGTCACCAGCGTGCGCGACGTTTTTCCGCACGCAAAGCGAAAGCGGACGGACGCACAGGATGCGTGGGCGGTGGCGGTCGTTACAAAGGCGGATCAAATTACAACCGGTGCGGGGATTAAAGCCGGAGGAAAAAAAAAGAGGATAGCGTTTGCGTTGCCACGCAAAAAGGCACACTCGCGAATCCGCCTCTCATCGGTCCGTTTTATATATGTGTAGATTCGGCGGTTCTTCTCTTTCCATTGCACCCCTTTCACTGCTCTTTGCACTGGTTACCCGTTTCCCGTCTTCTCGTTCTTCTTTCTCGTTCGCCATTTCGATTCCCTGACTGCTCGAGCTCTTCGGTACGAATTAACGTCCTACCCATGAATCCGCTAATAAATCTCGCGAACCGCTATTACCGCTACCGTCCGTTCGAAGGAAGCTAAATCTTCGGATAAGAGTAAAATGGCCGCAAACCGGTCATCGATTGACGAATTTATACGGTTCGAGAAGTACGGTGAGAGAAAGAGCAGCGCGATTTTGGTGATCGCCAGAGCGATGCTGTGGTGCGGCGCGATGGAGGTGAGGCGCGACCCGCGAATCCGCGGTGATAATATTGATTTTTGCGATTACGCAGCGCGGCGCGAGTTTGCCTACACGCGCGAATACATCGTATATATGCATCGAAAGTATTATTTATTTTATAAATAAACGTATACATATCGCGCGTATATATATCGCGTCTGCGTAACCGCGCTCGCGCATGAATTCGGGAATTGCGCGTCCCTTCACGCCGTGAGCGGTAATCCCGCGTTAACGGTTTGCTTCATTAATATGTTTATAATCGTAATGACGCATCACTGATTGTTAAAGCATTCTATTGTGCGCGCGTTCGTTTTAAATCATTATTACGCGGTAATATCGAGAGAATTATTAATTAATTATGCTGTATGATATCGATAACGAGCCGATTTTGTATCGGCAATATCAAAGCCGTATTTGTTGTCACAGTAACAAGCTGCAAGCATTGTTTTTAAAATAAAAAAGAGACGTGATTACAACGTATAATCGAAAGCTATAGCTCGTTCGCGGACGGAATAGTAAGGAACACTTAAAATTCACGGCGGTTTTTTCTTGTCCGATTCGTCTAATCTTCGTCGAGATGACACAGTCGAAAACTTCGGCAGAAGACATCGACGTTCAATTACGAAGTACAAAAGAAAGCCCGTTATTCTCGGTTACCCATACATTTGTTTGTCCTTCATGAGACTGTCTGGGATGGATGACCATTGTTCTTACAGATTGGGGCTTTCGCAAGGATTAATGAGAATGGCTCGACCATTCGTCGAAATCCGATTGGGAAATCCATTCAGATCGTTTAAAACTCCTGAGTAGTCACTGCATATTGGATCACATTATAAACGAGAAAAAACACTTTGCTTGAAGTTTCTTGCAGCTTCTTATCATTTGTAAATAAAGAGAATTTGGATAAAATAAAATAATGAAATTGTTTTAAAATACTAGTAAAAATGGATGAAAGCTAATCTTATCAGTCATAGCAGTCAATAAACAGTTAAAAGGTGATAAAAGATATATACTTCATATGGCTTTTACGATTATTTATTATCAAAAGGGCAATAAGGATACCTTTCGTTCATTTATACGAATGTTTTAAGCAGTCTGATTGTTTTATTTTATTTATATTTTCTTTATTTACAAATTACACATGAAAGAAAATTTAATGTCATTTCTCACTTATGATGTCACAATTCAATAAATGGCAACGACTTAGAATCCTTATGATAATTATTTAGTAAATTGAGTTACTGTAGAAATATCTAATGAATTATAATAAAGTTGAAGCATGGAATTTGACGTATGCAAAATTCTAGGGTAAGTTAATGATGAAATGAGAAAACAATGTTGCAAATGTAATTTTTAACGCATACTAACTTGATGACAGGTAAGGATCGGAGACACTTCTTTGACTAATTGCATACAAATATTATTGTACTAGACTTCTCTAAAAAACGAAATTATAAATGTAATAGTTTAAAAAATTACGATTGTAACAGTCACAAAAATAATAAAAATCAATGGCCATTTTAGAAAGATATTTATATGCATAAACTTGCAATACAAATTTAATCTCGAAAAATAAATATAACATCTTATTTTCGTTTGGTAAATTTGCAGCTCTTAATTTACTATCGTATGTTTCATATTATTTCATTAAGATTATGCGTAGTAATATTACATTTTATCCAAATTATGTAGATATTTGTGATTTTAGGTGAGTCCTGGCAAAACATCTCAAATTTTCGACATCTCAAACTTTACTAAGAACCACTTTAATATTGTGTTTTTTCTTGATATTTGAAGTAAATATTAGTAACATTAAATATTAAACAAGTTAAATAAAGGAAAATAAAATGAAAACAAATAAGATAAATAAATATAGATATATAAATAAATATTAAGATACAATAGAGTAACAAATGTTTAATGAGTTGTATTTGTCGGCATTTAAAATTTCGAAACAGTTGTTCATATAGAAATAATCGCGAGAGAGAGAGGGGGGGGGAAGGGGGGAGAGAGAAATCAAGATCTTCTTTCTTCGACAAACCTGACCCTAAATAGATTCCTTTTCGTTTCAATGTAAGCTGCTATTTATACGAGTAATACGAACGATTGAGAAATATTGCTGTTGAAATTCTTCCGAGACGCAATTGGCAAAAGATGGTCGTCTCTTGATTTTAGTGAAACTAAAGTTTTCGGACGAAGTGGACGTGGATCATGACTTTTACGTTCTCGCAACTCTTTTACCACTACTTTACGCGACGCTGCGCCCAAAAACGTCGGCGCTCACCTGACCAGGTCTAAGGGCTTTGTGGAATATCTCGTGTTTCGAGCGCCCACAACTTTTGCTCCGAGCGTAACAGTGCACTTAGACGAACACTGGATAGGTAGATAGGCGGGCGCTCGTGAAACATTGAGGTACAACTAGGCGTGTCTACGGTTCGGGGAAATTACGGAGTTAATGGAAGTCCGGGGCGAGGCTCGTTCAGTCGCGTATTAAAGAAGGAAATATCGTAAAGGGTCTCACCTTATAAGTTGTTCTGGAGAAAAAGAATGATCCGCTTTTTTCGTTAAAAATAAAATGTACTAAGCCGTCCGTCGTTACTGAGAGAACTTAACAATATTTTAGTCCGCATCGGTCTTATGCCAGCAGAAATTCATTAATACAAGCAATATGCTCTAAAAAAAATTTTAAAATAAAAAAAAGCGTGATTACAACATGATAACCCTTTTATTTTTTCTTTATTGAAATTGAGAGAATTGAATTAAGAGCTTTTCGTATAATTGAGCTATCCGGATAAGAAAAGAAATTATTAACAACAGGATATGGAATTACAACGAGTTACAACGACTTATAATACTTATTGCAAAATAATATTTTTTAATGAATATTCGGGTTGGATCTCGAAGGACGCGGTGCTGCCATCATTGAAAGGTAAAAACATGTTGCCATCTAGAACAAGGCCAGCATCAAAGCCTGTCGATTTGATTTTGATTTTGCAACACATTCGCTTGTCCGAAATAAGTTTTGGCCAGAGTGGACTTCGAATCATTTCATATATCATATATGCCATTTTTAAATTGTCTGTAACGCAAATATTCGATGTCTTAGTAATCATAATTTAATATTTTTTAAATCAACCTAATTTTATTAAAAAATCTATGTAGATTGATCTAATAAAATATTAAACTTTGTGGTATCTCCATTAATCTTCAATGGCTCGAAGAAATGTCATTGAAGATTCAGAAGAATTCATTTTATAATTCATTACCTGGTGGAAACAGAAGATTACTGTGATACTTGTGCAACACTTTGTGAGTTTCTTTCTCGTCCAATTGGCTGCCAGTTGCTATGGCCACAAGAGTTTGAACGGTTTCGGCGGTCTGCAAATTCATTCTCTTAAATCAGGACCGAGAGCTTGAGCCTATGCAGACACAGATATCCGAGGAATGGATCATGAATCTCTTCTCTTCATCTGCTTGAATCGTCAACATGATCAGCCTTGATGCCAAAAATTCGGCCATGAACATCTGAAAGTACGCGATGAATGTTATCGATCGGACTGAGCAGCGTAGAAGCATTTACGTGAGATGTAACCTCGTTTAATGTCAGCCAAGGTAAAATTCTCTGACGGGGCTGCAGGGCATCCGCTATTTTCCTCTCAGATCTCATGAGTGCGCTGCAAAGATTTCATTTGTTTAGCGCACCTTTAGAGAGACGTCGCGAAACTCGAAAGGAATTAATGAGACGCGAGAGCGAGTTTACAAGAGAAAGAGAGATTACAAATGGAAACGTAATGGAATATCAAGTGCGCGACGGTTAAATTGTTTCCCATCAGAAATGTCGAATTAAATCTAATCGTCGAACTAATTCTTTTCGAGAGTTTTTCTTTCCGGTTAATCGATAAGGGTTTAAGAAGCTCCGCATCGCACACCGTAAAATTCGCGCGAATTCAAAAGTTACGACCTCCTTGCACAAGTCATAACTACGCAGGCCTTGTAATTTACAAGTTATAACTACCGAAGTTATAACGCGCATAAGCTGTAGTTCGGAACTTCGGTTGCGAGAAGAGGACCAAGTCGGGCTGGGCAATGAAGACGCACCTTCGCGAAGGCGCAAAGGGTCGGCCATACCAGCTTATTTCAACTTTAGACTGCGTCATGGGAGTAGCCGGTAAATAAAAGTTTAGCGGGGAACATCATTCTCGCGACTGGTGCTTTAATGTTTCTCTATCTACGCGGACTAATTATATGATACATTTTTTGCGCGGATTTTCCGCACGCGGCATGCGTCTCCATTCCGTCAATCTTGTTATTTCTCATTTTGCTATGCAGCCGTGCTCGCAAAACTATTCTCTGCAACTATCAAAAAGCATTCAAGCTCTTATCTTTTTGTGTTACGTTAATATCGTTCCGAAGAAACTTCCTTTCCAGTTGCGAATAAAGGAAAAACGCCAATCTTGTAAGTCCTTTCTCGCCTTATTCGGCCTTATTCGCTTTATACATGCTTGATTTATTAATACTATTATTCTATAATGTACTCCAACTCGCTTCTACGACTCAAGTGAAAATGACGACTGCATCTCTGAGAGAAATACTGAGAAATTTTGCAGATAAAATGAAAAAGTGAAATACAATTTTGCACAAGAAAAGCGAAAAACAGATAAATAATGTTACGATATGGATTTAAGAGAGATATTTCTTTAAGAGAAATAGAGATATTCCTTTGAGAGAAATATTTTTTTCAAATTTGTAAGTTATTCTTTCAGTATAGAAAACGTTGGCTAATAGAATGGAAAAAAAATTACGTTAATCCTTTGTAATGTCAAAGAAAATTAATCAATCTACTTACTCGATTCTTTCTTCGCCTTGCATGCGACTCTTTTCGTGAATATGAAAGGGCTGTTGATATAATCCTTCTTCTATCATTACTGTATGTATACGATTCCTCATCAAGATGGTGTAATCTCCTGCAGTTTCTCAAATCCTTTCGATGTCTGTGCTGTACTCAATCGGCAGTGTGAAAGTACTGATTCCGGGATGCGGATTAATGTCAAATATCGGCATTTTTATTATTTGTTATCAGTTTCGAGGCCAAGAGAAAGGTGCCGTCTCCGCTGATTGTGATCACCAGATCGGTCCAATCTATGCATTTCACATCGCCTATTGTATTCGATCACAAATAAAGTTTTTAATTAATTAACAATTTTTGCCTTTTTTAATTAATTAACCATTTGTGATTTTTGTCGTAAATTGGAGCATCGACCTCGGGAAATTATGTCATGGATTTTCTACTCTGAAGAAAAGCTACGGAAACGGCAGGTTCGTTAACTTACAAAGTAACTCGTTCATAAAGCATATTACCTTTTCATAATCCGATAACTGACGTTGAGATTACATAGAATACGCGCAAGTGAGCTGCCGATGATGCTCCGCGAGGATCTCGTCAGAGTTTATACTTTGTTTTTTTAACTGACTTAATAGCTGATTATGCGATAAGTCATAAAGCGTGATTTTAAGAAATTCGAAAGCGGATAGTTTCGAGATGCCGAACACGCGTTTCGGCCAATGTCGAAGTCTCCGACTGTCTCGTAAACAATTTAATAGTCTCATTCTTAACATTTCACATATCACGCTATAACTTTACATGTCGTTGTTCAATATTAATTCAAATTAATTATGTTTACATTAAGTTATGATAATTGTCATTAATTTTAACCTTCTGTCGGCCAAATGGAATTTTACATCTTCAGTAACACAGCTGGATTTTTGAACTTCAGTGAAGATTTTAATATTATTCTAGACTGTATAAAAATCTGAAAACTTTTTGTATATCTATGAAAGCTTTAATAACAAGTTTTTACTATCATAAAGATTGGATTGTGAAACACGGAAAAAAATATTGCCAAAGTATCCAAAAATTTAAATAATGTAAATCTAAAAATAACTTTATTGTATCATCAAAATAATTACGTAAAAAAATTCAAGCATGATAAGTAATGTTGCAAAAAATTTTGAGATTCTAATAACTAAATAATTATATTTTTAAATTTGTATCTAGCTAAATTTTTAGATACCTAAGCAAAACAATTCTTTCCGTATATTTTAATTATTTTCTACAGATTTGAATTTATCTATCAGAATTTATAATCAAAATATCGATTATGTTTTCAAAGTCCCACTTGGGGGACTCGAAGAATTAAGAAAACATCGACGATTTACGTTTATGGCAAATGAGTAAAAATTAAGCATCCTGTTTAATCAAGTAAATTGTGCGTTTCTAGAAGCGATAAATTCACGTAATTGCATCGGGAAAACTGTTTTATTTATTAATTTCTTGAATGTGTAACGAGCGTGGAATCTTTAAAGCGATGAATCATTAGTAACATCCTCCGCAGCTCGAATTTCCAACGCAGCAAACCAATGTTTCTCAGCAAGCAGCTCGTTCCGCTACCGGAACTTGCGCAATTATATATATCGGTCTTTCCACACAATTGACCGCGATATCCTCCGCAAGAAGAAAGACTTTTGCAGGTCAAGCATTTATATTAAATGTACTACTAGCAAAATTTAAGCGTATTATATTACGTGATACTATGTATAACATTTTTGCACGCGCATATTGCGAAAAGAGATAAATAGACAAACAAAGAAATTTATTCTGGGACAATATCCGAGGAAGGTAATTACTCAATATAACATTTAGCATAAAATAACACAATAATTATTCATTAATTATTCATTGTTATCAATTAAAATATTGATAATAAAATATTAATAATAAAATATTGAAATTAATGCGACCGAGAAAAAAAGTATAATTTCAAATATAACATGTAACATTATCTAGTATAAAGATTTAATCAAAATCGAAACAAAACTATATCATAACTATGCTGTAAGCATTGCATATTATTAGAATGAGATTGTTAAATTGTATAACTCACTTACAAGGAAAATCTCTTTGCAGCAACAATACGTTTAACTTTAACTTAATTAACAAGCAGCCCTTTCATTGGCATAGTCCCGTCTTTCATCGCGAGTCGCGCGTGTTTCACGCGAATAGCATGAGACTATCGAACACGGAGTTGCCTGGAAATGGGGCTGGTTCTTGGTTGGAATTGGACGGTCTAAAGACGTTGAACACGGAGACGTGTCGTACAACGGCGGCAACGGACAGGCCGTTGGACACGGCAGTGATTTACACGGGGACAGTTTACACGAGGGTGGTTTACACGCCGGCGGATTACACGGCGGCAGATTGCATGGAGGTGGGTCAGACCAGAGGTTGATGCCACGGCCGGGTTGCAAGCTGGACGACGGGACATGGTACACAGGCACGACAACAACGGGGATTGCGGACGGAAGGGGATGCGTGTTGTCGCCTGTGTTTAATCAACTTAGCGTGATAAGGCGACGGATAGAGACGTCGAGGGGCATTATGAGATCCTTCGCACCCTCCACTGACTCTTCTACACCGAGATCTATCGAGGAAGTGTACCTTCATGGTCGTCGCGAAGTCTGACGTTACGAAGTTTCCTTGCTGTTACTTCGTGCGATTCAACGTGATTGCAACCCTGTCAGTCCCTCGCCCTCTGCTTTGTCATTATCGCCGTCTGTAGAGCAACTCCGTTCCAGCAATCTGCAATGTCGTCGTCGACATCAGCGTTCTCGAATGCAGTACTTAGCGTGAAAGGCGGCGTGGTGCGTCGTTCTGTCGAAGGATATCGTACTTCCTTCGCTTCGCGGGCGAAGTTTTGTACTGTACGATGTCGAAGTTGAATAGTAAATCTTCCGACGCCACCTGTCTAATGCATCCACTAGGATCACGTTAAGTCTTGCCACTGCATAAAGCTACCTGTTACATTTATAACTGCGACCGTAACATTTATAATAACGACAAGCATGTTATTACCTGTATGGTTCACGAACTTGTTCATTGAGTGGTTTTGACTCTTCTCTTACATTAGTCATCCAGAGAGTTTGTAGAATAGATCGCCATGAACTTCGACGAAGTTTTCGTCTTGATATATTTCGAGCTTGAAGACTGCTTAAGATGCGAGATCCTTTCAAATTGTTTTCTCGTGCTACACATGCTTCGAATGGTTGACCGTATGGCAAATCTGTCGGAATAAATGAATAATTAGACATCAAAGTGCAATTAAACATCATTCTGTCGTTATAATTCTCGGACAATAATCTTCTCATTGAAAACAACAAGAAAATCAAGTTTGATAAATGCAAATGCAAATAAGAATAAAAAAGAGCAAGAATTAAAGGTTATGAATAAAATAAGTGACAACTTTATTTATTCTTAAATGAATGATTTATTATTTTATATGTCACTGTATTATGTTTTTGTATTCTCAATTCTAATTATTAATTTTTTCATAAATATTCGTTTCTCTACTTCCCTTGCTGAAATTGTTAATATGTTGAAGAAGACTACAGTATAAGAAAGTGCAATCAAAACGTCTATAATAATAAATTATTCTTTATTTCTTTCCCTTTTTATTAATTTATTTGACAATAAATACAGTTATCATCCTTTCGACATTATTTTGTTCGACATTATTCATATCATTATTTTATTCATATTTTGATCATTTTTTATTTGCATTCTAATTAAAAATTTCTCAATTATTCATTTTTCACTATTTTTCATTATAAAATTAATTTTTATTGAAAAAACGAACAAATTGGTATACACCTTCCAGACCGTGTGAGTAGGTAACGAGAAAACAGATATATATGCTTTCGCTTTCCAGACTAGGTTTTCGATCGTTGCATTCGGCAGGTGGACTTTCAAGGAACTTCGCAACAAACTTCTACGAAATTCCTTCCGCCGCAATCGCCAACCGCGAAGGCCGCTTAAGGATACGACAACGTCTCCACCGGGACCCGTTGATGCAAAGTTCTTCGGCTGCCCGCAAGCTCTTTTCGACACTGTTTGGCGTTTCTTGCGAGGACGGTAACAGTCTGTCGCGTCTGCGGTGGTTTCTTTCTGTTCGTAGATATTTCCTAAATAGCTAAGTAGCTTCTCAAGCATGAAAAAAACGCTCAAATGATCTTGGCCCTTTTGTGACTGGCAATTTTGTCATAATAAGAGAGTTTTTGCAATGCAAAGGTTTCTTTTTTTGTTTCTTGAAATGCTAGTTCGAACTATTTGTTATTATTAATGAATAATCATAAACTGGTCGTCATAATGAGTAATATAAACTGCTATGCAAACATGTAATCACTCTGTCCACATTAATATATCGTATGATACGTTCTCTTGTCATCTGGCATCAATGCGTCGTCTGTCGCACGTATATCGCAACTATATTTGGCGCGTTATTAATTTTAATTATTAACATGCATACGCGTTGGACAGGATGCGAAACTTTATGACTACTCGCACGGGTTAATAACCAAAAGTATGTAGTATGTAGTATGAAATATAATTAGGATTGACGCACGTCACTGGCCTCAGTACAGATTACGTCGTATATTTATCCATTTTAATTTGCTCGGTCCTCATCATCTTGCTCTGTACTGTAAATTTCATAAAAAATTATATATACATAAGCAATAAAAAATGACACGTTAATTTTATATATATTTCCGATATGATTGAATTCGAATTACTCGGCAACGTTAAATATCGTATGTTGCCATTGTCAATATCAATTATATCGCGACAAATGCTCCGATGTCCATGGGTGCGTGAAATATAAATTCCCCTTTGTTCAGTAATATGATCGATCCCTCCCACACTGTTGATTGTTCAATACTGGATGTCATTGCAATGATAATATCTCATTTGAACGTTGTCAATATTATTTAGATGCGGATAACAATATTTTGCGTCGTTCTTATAATACGTATTGGTACATAATGAATTTTTAAATACACTATGTTTTGTGCAGTTTGTATTAATGTTATAACATCTGGACGAGCTGTCAATTAGTGAATGACAGCTGGTATGATATTTGAATACGCATGAATCTTGCGGGAAAGCGCTCTTTACGATATCTTCAGAAGTAAGGCATGGAGTAATCCAAATATCGCAATATTTGGGTCTTCTAAGACAGATGCTCGATAAATCCTTATAATATTTTATTGGTTCTAAATATTTTGTTGTACGATAATCTTGATATATTTTCGTTGGTTTTTCACAATATTCAAAAACCTTAGAAGTTCTTATTACTTCAGGCAAGTTAACGAGACACGCATTTTTCAAAATTTCATCGGAATCCTTGGGGATTTTTTTCAATTGTGGCTTTTTTTCTTTTTCTTCCGTATCAATGTGATATTTGGCTTGATATTTTGGCTTTTTATATGGCACAAATTCCTCGGAAGTCGGTTTTCTTGTTCTTTCGGCTAATTCTTCTTTTTTTATCTTTGAAGATTTGTTAGAAGAATCGATTCTTTTTACAATTTTTTGTCTTGAAACAGTCTGATCTAAAGATTTTGTCTTTTTCTTTTTTAGCTTTGGAATACAATTTATAATTACATTTAATTTATAATTTTCATCAACTATCTTGTCAGTGAAAACTTTATCTAACATTTGTTGCAGAGAAATTTTCTTCAATAATTCTTTCTTTTCTTCTATCTTTTTGTTAGCAACAAGAGCTAGGGTATCTCGAAGATCTTTTTCTGGAAACGTGACCGATACTGTAGGTCCAGTTTTCCTTAGGTCTTCTGACCATTCTTTTTCTTCATCCAAAACGCTCGGAGATTTATTTAATTGTAAGCTTACTGAAAAATCTTGTGAATTCGATGTAAAATAGCTTGGAAGAGATTTCAATATGTATGTCTCTGCTTGCATTACAGTCTTTGAAGCAACTGATATCTGATCACTTGATTTTTTTTCCACTACACATGGTTTTTTTTCTACTACAATAGTTGGTATTTCTTCCATTATAACAGATGATTTCATTAGAACAGATGACTTTTTTTCTACTACAGTAGTTGATTTTTCTGTAACAATTGGTTTTTCTTTTACTATAACAATTGATTCTTCTCCCGTGTGGATCGAAGATGTTGATGATTTCGTGTTCTCAAATGTTTGCTCTTTCATGATTCCTTCATATTTCGCAGGCATCATCGATACGGACGCGAGAATTGAAGCCTGTTCTTTCGCGGAAGCGAAACGCGCTTTCTGCGTCAAAGCGTCAGAGACTTTTGCAATTTTCTCGAGAATAAAATCCGTGTGCCGCCTCTTTTCGCATGCTTCCGCAAAAGTGGAACTTGTCTCCAAATTGAATTCTCCATTCATGATAACGCTTTGAGTCTCGCTACCAATGCATAGCGTACCGCAGTCATCCGAAATAACGTTTTCCACGGCTGCATGTCGATAAGATGCGTCATGAACTAAATGCTCTATGGCGTCTAAAAGATTTTCATGTGTTACATTATTTATTTGTGTAGTGGAGGTAATTGCATCGACCATTTTTTGCTCCAGCTTATCGACAACCTTTGCATTGGGTTTAATTACATTATCTACAATCGATGATAATGAAGTATATACTGATATTTTTTCTTCAGATTTACTGGTACTAACGCTTCGCTTCTTTATATTATATGTCTTTTTTTTGTTTTGTCTTATTCGTACAGTGGGGCGCTTGAAATAGTTTAATATCCTACGAAAGAACTTGTGACTTTCTGATGTTGATGAATCTCCGTTAGTTACATTTGGAGCATCGCAGTAAACGGAACAATCTGTTTGTTTATTCTGATAATTTGTATCAAAATCACCAATTTTATTATTATTTGCCATGTTTAATGTGCTCAATATGTTTAATGCTTCAATATGAATAATAATATTATTATAGACTATTGTTCGATTCTATTAATATGATTAAATATGATTAATTAAATATGTTAATATTGAATAGGCTAATATTGAATAGTAATTTTGCTTGTAATTTTGCCTTATGTTGAATAAGAAAATTATTTTGCAATGTGCTTTGTTTAAACTTTATAATTTTCAGAAGAGATTCATAATTAACTTATTTGTTTCCATTGCTATGCATAATTAAAATTTCAATTTGAATATAAATTTCGGCAGAATATGGACACATTGAGTACGTTTTGATATGTCATAGCCAAAAATAGACACATAAATCAGTACATGTGTAAATGTGAGGTTACTAAGATTTAATTAAAATAACTGAAATTCTCTCTGAATTTCTCGATATCTCGAAGTGGTTCGATTAATCTATCAAAAATTGCAAACAACAAATTTAATATTGTTTGCAATTTTTGATGTAGATTAATCGGACCACTTCGAGATATCGAGACAAACGCAAATTTTAATATTGCTGCTTAAAATTATTTACATTCTAACAGATATATTTATTTATATAAATTGCTCTCAAGGGAATTTCTTGAGCACAAATCATGGAGGAATTGTTACGTCTGCTTATCGTTTCGCCAAATAATCGTTCAATTCAGATGTTCTTTGTATGTTCTGACGCCTGATATTCTGCGATTAACAATTCTTCTAAAGTAATCGAGGTACCTGACTGTCTTATTTCGTAACATTCTTGTTTATTACATATGAAATATTGAACAGTCTTCGACGAGGTTGCAATCGGATTGTGACACATCGATTGTTCGGGTGATTATTTGTCGATCTCTCTTATGTTACTTAATGATGATGTTTGCATTTGTACTTCTTTTTTGTCATCCAATTTCGATTGTAGCATTATGGTCATCAACACCTTCCTCTTCTTCTCGCCACTGACAAGGAACTCCGATAAAATTCTCGTAACAATCGCATCAGGTGTTTGCATTTGAACGTTTACGTAGGCTCTCCTTTTATTGCCTTCTTGATCGGTTTGCATAGTACACGGAACTATTTGCATAATCTTCACTCCGTTATCATAAGTAGTAATAACCATACTTGATGGCTCCTTTCTTCTGCATCTTCCACTCCATTTAAACATTCTATCGATGTACGAACATCTCCTGAAGAATTTCACTATCGCACAGAACGGCGCTTTGAAACGTCTTCTTCGCGATTTTTTCGGTGAAACAGGAGGCGTCACTTCTTCCTTCCGCAATGGGTGAACCGTGAGATCCGCTTTGGTCAAGGATATTGCTGCAACTGCGATCATCGATGTGAAACTTCTTTCGGTTTCAGAATCACAGACTATCGTGTCAATACTCTCGCACGTTTCTTCGCATATTCCCTCACATTTCCCCGTTTCGATTTCTTCATAAAATTGTGTTGGTTCAGACGTCGCAGCTGTTTCTACTCGTCTGTTACTTTCAGGAGATGATACGCTCATCGATTGAGACTCATGATTCAGCGAATTATTTTCTGAGGCAACTGGCATGTCTGTGCAAATCGTTTGATGATCAGTAGTTACAGACACTTCGTAACAATGAATGTGTGTCTCTTGAGGCATTCTAGATACACATGTTTTAGAATTTTGATAACATTTAACAGATTTTGTTTCTTTGGAAGTATGTTGCATAGATTGATCTACGGTTCTCCTTGTAAAATTTCGGTTATCGTCGCTACCACCTCTATTGCGAAGTTCTGGATACGTAAATTTTTCGTGATAGATGAAGGACTCACTCAAACGGGATTGAGAATGTATATCCTCATCATGGCTGTACGTTTCATTCCGTGGTTGAAATTCTACGATATCCCGATATTCGCCATGTTCATATTCTAGAAGAGCAATTATTATTTCCGTATCAAAGGCGAGAAATTTATATACGCGGGAAACGAGAGAATATTTTATGATATTGAATATTGTACAAGCATTCGTATCTAAATGCAAATTCTCACGTGGATAAAGGTTAATGTAAAATTTGAATATAAACATCCTTTGTCTTTAATGTATATAAATTTGGAAATTTTCAAAGAAAAAGATTATCCTGGAATTATAATAAAACATTTGTTAATTTGCGTTCAATAATAACGCAAATCTGCAGAAATTTGTATTTATTTAAAATTTAAAAATTTAAAAATTTCTCTGCCTTTTTTCGATTTCATTTAGCCGAAATAAAAAAATACATTTTTTGTTACAGCGCAATATTTATGGTTCA